TCTAACCCTCACCATGCACGGTTTCAAATTTTTTATGATTTTCCCATGGTATAAATTCAAATTTAAGAGACATACATATTTTCCGAATGCCTCATTATGAAGTTTCAAGTGAAATTACTGTACATACCTATTTTTTTAACCCCAAGGGGCATCAGGGGGAGGGGGTCTGGGGGGTCTGGGGTAAACTGAGTTCAATCTCACTCCGTTGAAAATTGAACTTGGGACCTCCCGTAAGCGAGAGTGAGTCGGCGACCAGCTAGGCTGGACCGCTTCCTCACTATAGATACCTATTTTTCAAGTGAAAGTGTAATTGGTCTCATGGTGAATGATAAGGCTCATAAGTTGAAAATGGAGGTAAATAACCAAACAGGCTCTTAGAGTGCTAAATTGGCTAAATTGACTAAATCTGCTGAATTATGGAAAACTATATCTAAAATACATTTTATTAATAAAATAAAGAAAGAATGTATGAAAATGATTGAAATGATCTTTTACAGTAAGTCCAACCAATTCAGCCAAATCAGTAAATTCAACTTTACTTATTTTGATTACTATACAATTTAGCGTGCGAAATCAAAAGTTATGGTTTTGATAAAAAAAAAAGGTTGGTTGATAAGGTTAACAAGCTGAAAATGGGTTTACCAAACGAGCTGTAGATATAGTACTACATTCATCCCAAATGTATGGTATATGTGGGTTTTGTGGGTATTAAGAAAATAAATGAAAAAAATGATTAATTTAAAATTGTAACACCCAGAAGTAAGAAAGGGCACGATGTGTCCAGAAAGAGTAAAAAATAAAATGAAAGATAAAGGGATAAAGTGAAAAAGCAAAAAGTTAGTGAAATTCAATTTAAAAAGTATTCATATTTTTTAGACAATTAGTTAAAAAATAAAATGTATCTTACAAAATGAGACAGAGAAGATTATCAATTTTATTTCTATCTCTTATTTTAATTTTGTCCATTATAGATGATTAATGGAAATGGAATTATAAAATAAAACTAAAATAGAAGTCAATACAAATAGAAATAAATAACGTTAATGGCAAATTAAATATTTGATGTAGAACAACTTAATTTGTTTTATACACTTAATAATAAAAATTGTGACGTTTAGACTGCGTCAAAAGAGTGCAAGTATAATGATTAATTGTACCAGTGCCCACTTCAAAGGTAATGGATTAAGATGGCTAGTGACGGATATGGAACAGGTATGTATAAATCTTAATCTTCCAATTACCAATACTAAAACATAAAATTACTTTCTCCCATGCAGTAAATGTAATTTTTCCACTTTAACTATATCAATTCAATATGGGTATCTACAAATGGATTTGTATGTATTAACTAGATTTAAATTTTTTCATGACTTAAATATTGTAAATTAAATCATTAAATTAAATATAATATCTATTGTTGTGCCAATAGATATGACACCGCAGCGGATCGAGAACAAATATGCATTTGAATTAACTTTATTGGCTAGAGTGATGATTTCCTCGCACTACAATACATTCATTGTCCAATGAGTAATTTTTAGTAAAACAGGCTTCAATCGTTGTAACGGATAATGAGCATAAACATGAGTAACATTTTAACAAGCAGATCATCAATATCTATAAGAATTTATTATATTTGAATAATGTTTGGTCAAGGCGATCATAGATCTTTTCGAATCACATATCAGTTCAAAGATGTTGATCTTTCACATAGAAGGATTCTATGATAGGTTAGAAAGCATAACAAAAAACAGATGATAGAGTATATGTACTTGGATCCACGGGCCCAAGCCCGTCACACTACCAGAGGCCTCTCAAACAAGCCCGGTCCAAAATTAAAAAAATGACTCTCTTTCCGTATAGTCACCTCAGGGGGCATCACCTCGGTGATGACACATCGGCCATAGAACCCAGATAATCACTCAGGAACCAAGACAACACTAGACCTGAGGTGCACCCCTACACCTCGACCATCATCACCTCGGCGGCTCGGCCCACAAAGAACACTTTGGCAGAAGTCAATCAAGAAATGACACTCGTTAATTTCTGCTACGCCACAGGACTCTCAACAATAGATTAACCAACACGTTTAATGCATTTAACACAAGTTCTCTCTCTCTCAACTTTGGCTCTCCCTTCTCTCTATTATATCACTAGCGGTTACCGGTAAACTATTACCAGACTATTACTATCACTTTATATTCATAAAATAACTACTTATTATGTACATTAGAATAAATACAATTTCAAGCAAATTGTTGTTTTGCTCTAGATGTATCCGTGTATCGCACGAGTATTTCGTCTAGTATATATATACTATATATATATATAATCTATAATATATATCTATATATACACAATGGAAAGAGAAAATCTCATCTCTTAATAGTTGTGGGACAAATAATAAATAAAAATGTAATAAAAATATAACTAAAAATTAATGAGACGGGTACGAGACGGATAATGGGGCGGACATGTATAAAACTGTAACGTCTCCTGGGTACCCGTTACTGTTGTTCCCGGCCTAGCACCCATTAAAGGGTGATTGCGGTTGGGGCCGTTGGTGGCATCTAGGGGTGGGAAAAACCGAACCGAAACCCGAAAACCGACCCTGGACCGACCCGAATTATGATCCCGGTCCGGGTTTTTTCTTTTTAACCGGCCCGAATTAAAAAAACCCGGACCGAACCGAAAATTCCGGGCTCATTAACGGGCCTTAAAATCTTTAACCCGGCCCGGACCGAAAAAACCCGAAACAATTAGTTTTAATATAAAATTCATATAGTATATGAATATAAATAAAATATTTCCTAATATATGATTATAATCACGGTGGATAAAAAAAGATTTAGTAACTTTTAGTGACTACAAATATGTTGAATTTGTTTAGTGTAATGATGACCATGAGAATATATTTATAGCAACTCTAGTAACTTATTTATATATATATATATCTTACATAAAATATTAAGATAATTATCTTCTTTAAATTTGAATTGTTGGTGATTTTGGAGATTAATACTTGTGTTATTATTTGCAGTTTTTATTTTTGATTAATTTTATTTGAAAATAAGTGTTAAAATATAAAAGAACAATGACATATTTCACGACCGGGCTTTAACCGGTCCAACCCGAACCCGGACCGAACCCGGGCTACCAAAAACTCGACTCGGACCGAATATAATGGGCTTTGTTCCGGTCCCTAATTTTCATAACCCGAGACCTTTCGAGTAATTTCCGGGTTTAGCAAAAACCCGAACCAGACCGGACCGATCCCACCTAGTGGCATCCATAGTTTTGGTCACAATTGTCATGGTAAATTATACCGTACAGCCGGCTGTACGGTGAGCACCGTACGGCCGGACATTTTTGTAATCAAATCGTATCACAGCAACTCACTGGCGAAGGACGGCAGTTAATAATTCGCTGAAATCTCGTTTCTTCCAATTTGAAGTTCGATTGCTCCCTTTCCCTTCACGTGCCGGAAGTAGCTGAACAAATGAAGGGAAATTAAAGGCAGCCGCCGATAATCCAATATAGTGGTGTCCAACTTTCTTAGCCATCTCACGAAAAAACCTCAAGCAATTACATCACAATCATGAAGCTAACCATCAAAATTTCTACTTAGCTTCTACAGACTTATCTCCAAATAATTGAAGCTCTATCTAATTTAATTCAAAATAAGAGCTAGACTCATTGAGTTTAGCGTTTTTGTTGCAGGAGTCATTGGGGACGACACTTATTGATCATCAGTTGTTTATGAATATAGAACATATTACAAATGAGTTTTATTTTAAACTCAAATGAGTATAACGCCTAAACTGAATGAATATATACAAATGAGTTTTTGGTTTTCCCGATACTCATTTTGTAAGTTGTATATGCTCATTTGGTACAGATGTTCTGCTCATTATATTTTAACATAAGACTTGATTATATATGCAGGAGCTCAGATAATGATGCTCAACCACATGATTCTAATACTCAATAGAGGAGATTTGATACTCAATTTAAATGTATTTATGGTCAACTAAAAAAACTTACGAGTTTCATATCAATAATCATTTTATATATTACATATGCTCAATTGGAACTGATGTTATGCTCATTTTTAAAATGTCATATCAATGCATATTTCAAAAGTGCCATATTACATTAGTTTTGCATATTGAAGTTCATAGGAGTTGATTATAAATATAATTTAATAAGTATTTATAAAAGAAAAAATAAGAAAAAGAAAGTGAATTACAATAGGGGAAATGGAAACTAATAATCCAACCTTTAAGCGGTCTTCTTTCAATAATCCCACCTTTTGATTATTCATGAATAATCCAACCTTTGCCCCTCATCTTCATTCATTGGTCCCTGGTCGGTTAATGACCTACTATTCCAAGTTATTTTCTTATCTTTGCAAAATATTATCTTTGTGAAAGATGAGATTTATGGTATAATGATTTGCAAAGATAAGAAAATAGCTTGGAATAGCAGGTCATCAACCGGTCAGGGACCAGTGAATGAAGATGAGGTGCAAAGGTTGGATTATTCATGAATAACCAAAAGGTTGGATTATTGTAAGAAGACCGCTAAAAGGTTGGATTATTAGTTTCCATTTTTCCATTACAATATATGAAATTGATATCGCAATACTCATTATTCGACTCGTAATGCTCAATAGAATACGTTTGATGCTCATTAAACGTGTATCAATGCTCATCTAAAGATAATGACAATTTTCACTGATATTACGAAAATGACACCGTTTTTTAGTTGTGATATCATCTTTCTTGTACTAACACGGTGCTCATTAAAATTGGACTATTGCTCATTAACAGTACACTAATACTCATTTAACACAAACCGCGATTTTCACATTAATTACAAAAATACCACCGAATTATTTTGCCATTTTTTCCTTGGGCCTGTTACTTTCCTTGTTGGGCCGGCTGTACGGTGCTCACCCTACAGCCGGTTGTACGATATAGGCACTCCAATTGTCATCCCTAATTTTCACTAGTTTGACTCCCCTCGCTATAGACACAGCAGTAAGCGCAACGGCATGGCCGGTAATTGGCTACCGCCGGCACAAATCACGGAAAGTGGCCGACCTGTGATACTCAGCGGTGAAGTTGAGTGCTATATCCTCTCATTGGTTGACCTTCTATCGGAAGATAACCCCAGCTTCCCCCACCTCAGGTCCGGCCTTCTTATCCTCACAACCCACCGCCTTATCTGGCTCCCCGACTCTACCGTTCCTGCGTCCTTCGGCTCTGCCGTATTTGTCCCCCTTGCATCCATCACACACATCTTCCCTATGAAAAAGTCCATCAAGGCTATGTTTGCTAGTCCTAGAATCCGTTTTCAGGCTTCAGCCAGCCTGCAAGGACAAATCGACGAGAGAGGGTCGAAATCGATGGCAATAACTTTGATAATTCGAAGCAAGTCAGATGTGGACTCGTTTTTGGAAAAGTTTTGGGAGGCATGGAGAGGTAGGGGTTGGGAGGAAGCTGGAAAGTCCGGATCGGATGGTCCAAGTGCTTCTGGCTCAGGTTCCAGTACGGGCGGGGGGAGCATGGCAGTAAAGATGCCGGTGGTTGGTGTAGCTGGTATACTGAGAAAAGAGCAAGAAATGTGGGAAAGTACTGATAAAAGCATGCAAGAAGCTTTCCAGGATTTGAACGCCCTCATGGTAAGTAACATCTTATTTGTGTATGTAAAACGAAATGCAAGGGTAGTTGTTATATGTGCAATGCATGATCAGTTGATACTTATCACGTAATAAACTGTGTTATGTTTTTAATAATAAGAACATATTAACTACATGTAAAGGCAATAAAAGGCATGTTTTGTTTAAAAGCCCGTATAGTTATAAACAAGCACAACCGACTTGAGTTTGTTTTAATAGTTCAAGTGGTGTTAATACCCACCTTTTTTGTTCAAAAGTTCCTCACAACGTCCGTGATTCTTATGCATGTCGTACTTCTAAACCTTTTTACCCATTGTTCCTTATTTTGTTTGGAAACTATTTATTGAATTTCACCCACTACATCCTAGGTCATAATCAATCATTCCCTTCTGGTGTAATTCCAAGTATTAGCAGGATAAAATCTAATTGATATGGATTATTCTCTGAATGATACTTGGTTGATTTCTGATTCTCTTAATGATGGTTTTTTTTAGAGTTCACGTTATAAGTTCATCTATTTGTAGGGCTTCCTTGATTTTCTATATACTCAGATATGACTCTTAAGTTATTTTACAGAGTAAAGCTAGAGAGATGGTGATGCTAGCTGAGAAGATGAGGATGAGACTTCTTTCTAGCTCTAACAGTCATGCAGGATCAAATGATGAGGAAATGGGTACAAAGGAAGAGATTCAAGATTGGTTACTTAGTGTTGGTATTCTCTCCCCAGTTACCAAAGAGTCTGCTGGTGCCTTGTATCATCAACAATTATCACGACAGGTAAATCCCCTCTTGCTGCTGTTTATGCACTTATTTGTGGTATTTTAATGCAGGTGATATAAAGATATTGAATATACTTGAAATGAAGTTTGTTGTTTTCGGTGGAGTTCAGAGTATGAATGTTTTATCAGTAACATGGATTAACTATGTGGGAAGTAAAATTTGACCAAATCATGGGTGCTTTAGTGTTATCTTATGAAACAAGTGTGTTGACATTCCTTTTCTAGTCTCCATCTCTGAGTTCTGGGTATCATAGCAAAGTAAACCCTCAAAATTGTGAATTAAGCAATAAAGTATTTAAGTGGTTGCTGCTTTACCTTTACCAGTTACATGGATTTGCCATGCGGGAAGTAAATTTTGACCAAATCATGGGTGCTTACTGGCGTTACTGCTTTATTGTTGGCTTATGACAATCGTCTGTTAGATTTCCTTTTCCAGTCGCAGTTTTGAGTTTTGACTATCATAGCAAAGTAAATAATCGAGATTGTGAATTAAGCAAAATAGATTTATACTACGTATTTCAATAGTTGCTTCTCTACCTTTATCTATCATCAAAAGTATGCCTAGAAGTGTTACAAGAATTCACGTATGTGTTATGTTCTAGTTGGCAGATTTCATCAGGATTCCCCTTGAAAGAGCAGGTGGAATGATTAATCTCATTGATGCTTATTGCCTTTTCAATCGGGCCCGTGGAACAGGTCATCTCTCATGGAGTCATATGTAGTGCTCTATCTATATGTTTATGGAGCAGCCCATGTGTGTACATAGATGCCACTAATAGGCTTTAGAGAAAATAATTCATCATTCTTCCCACACACGCAGTAAACCTTCTTTGTAAAACCACATTCTTTTATTTTCAGTTGGGTTTAAATGTTTAATCTTTCTCATTTTAAATTAATTTTTTAATTTTCCCTTGCTTAAATATTTTTATTTTGCAGAACTGATATCCCCTGATGACTTGATGCATGCATGTTCTTTGTGGGAGAAGTTCGATGTGTAGGTTTTGCATTTTCTTTGATACTACCTGGTCTCTTCTCATACAATGCATTGTATCTTCTCTTATGTCAATCTTTCATTTAACAATTAACATAAGAGAAATTTTGACTGTATATGCGTGTGACAGCCCTGTGTTGCTGCGCAAGTTTGAGAGTGGTGTTATGGTCATCCAGAACAAGAGCCACAGTGACAACCAGGTATCTTATATTAAGTTTATTGGTGACAACCAGGTATCTTATATTAAGTTTATTGAAGGCAGGCAATCGCCGCATTCAATGCGGCGTCACGTCCAACCACCACATTTAATGCGGTGCACATGCGATTGTCGGTGCCACCCCGATTGAAATGACCCTCAACCGTCGGATGGTTGACACGTGTACACACCTAGCATTTATGGCTGCTATAAATAGCAGCCCTTTTTCCCTTGTAAAGGATCCCATCTCGAGTTCATTCAATATATCTGACTCTCTCTCTCTCTTACTTGTTTGCTCCGACTTCTCTCTAGATATTTCTCATAATATCCCTCGGATAAGCTACCCCTGGGTACACTATCCATCAGATAGGTTTACTATTTACGGTAATTTAATTCCTTTTGTGTCTGGTGTGTCATATGCTTGTGGTATGCAGCTGGTCGGTCACAGTTCCACAATATTTTTCTATTGAATTAGCTCTTTAGCTCCTCTTTGATGAAAGGTTGTTCTAGTAGGAGACCATTTTGCCATGCTAATGCCACGTCTTTCATAAGCCCAAAATGTAATAGTATATCTAACCTTATAAATTTATTGAAGAGAGTGCTCCGCCTTCGCTGTTGAAGTTTTGCAGTTCGAGAAGTGGGATGAAGTTGCCTACCTTTCTGTGAATTGTGTAGCTTCTTTTTTAACACAATCCTCCTCCTCCTCCTCCTTTTAAAGAAAGGAACAGATACAAGAAAATAGCTTTAGAGAAACATTCTAAGTGACCCTGCAAGCTTTTTGTGAAATGTATTAGAATGAATGAAGGAATATGTTTTGGAATATTTAGGAAAATACTCTAGGAATAACAAGTTTGAAACTCTCCAAGAAGGTATTAGTATATTAGCAAACTTTGTTTTGATGATGATGATCACATCCTCAAAAGGTTTGGAAAGTATATGTTTTAGCATTCACCTACAGATTTGGTTTCCTTTTGTATATCTACTTTCAGCTAATTTCTGAGTGCTACATCCAGATATTTGCTAGAATTAAATCTTTGGCGAGTGAGGACGATGCTTTACGAGTTGGGATCAGTGCTAGTGATGCTGCAATGATCCTGGGAGTTGCTCCAGCTATGGCCAAGGAACATCTTCTTGCTGCTGAGGGACAAGGTATATCTTTGTCAAATCATTTGCATGTGTCAGACTGTCAGTGATAATCATATTAGTCAATAAACACTGATGTGATTGTTCTGGTTAAAATGCTTGCAATATAGTACTACCTCCGTCCCCCTATGTTTGGGACAAAGGGGTGTGGGATTTTTAAGAAAAAGTAGAAATGTGTGGTTAGTATTAAATTGATAAAGTGTGAATAAAGTAAGAATGAATTGTAGCCACCGAAATATTACCAAATATGGTATGGGACAAACATAATGGGACGGACGAAAAAGGTAAAACAGGACAAAGTTAGGGGGATGGAGGGAGTAATACGTAATTGTAATAATAAAATTCACAAATCAACAGGTTTTAATTGTTCTATTGTTTCTAGTATTTTAGGATTTCAATTGAATATTGCACTTCTATGGGTCATCCGGAAACAGTCTCTCTATGCTGTAGTACAGGGATAAGCCTTTGCAGCACTGGGGTAAATGAAAATGATGAAATTGAATATTGCACTTATTTTTATCCTATCGTCTTCCGATGTGTTGTCTAAGAATATAGATTATGTGTTTAACCTTTCTGAGAAAGCAAGTGTTATTCATGTTTTCATAGGAATGGTTATTGATTTGTTTCTAAATCGAAATACCAGTTCATATAAACAGGACATTAACAGTCAAACTTTATGTTGTTTTCAGGATTGCTGTGCAGAGATGTAAGCCCCGATGGCTTTAGGTTCTTCATAAATCTATTTCAAGACATTGATGCTGATCAAATATACTTGTAAGTAATCAGAATGCACATAACTGATTCTGACAGTTTGGAGAAAAACTCAGGGGCCGTGTACTAAGAGAAATGGTTTTTATTTCTGGAAAACAGAAAATGCAAAACATGTTTACTAATTTTAATTTTCAAATTTAGAAACATAATTGCACGTTTGCTTCACTAGTTCTCTGATGTACTAAAAATAAAACAATTCTCCAATATTTCTATTTTTTTTGAGAAAACCGGGAAACATTGTATGTTTTCCATAACAGTTTTTAGAAGTTAAAATTAACATTTTTTTTTAAAGACTGGAAAGTAAATTTAACACATAAAATTAATATGATGAACACATTTTCCATTAGTGATAATCCCGACTACAATGAGTGACTTATCATTTCAAATATAGAAATACTACAGTATAACATGCAGTCTGAACCTAATATATATGTTTCGACTTTGTCTAAATGTTTCGACTTCGTCTGATCGTTTCTGATCTTGCCTAACTTTGTCGTATGAAATACTCCATTTTTTATTGTTTACCCTCTATTACTTTTTTACAAGATTTTTTATTTGCTACATTTCCTAATTTAGCAATTTTTATCAAAATACATTGATATCCTATCTCATATTCTCATCTTTGTTCTACCTTTATAGTTTTTCATCTTTTCACGGCAAAAAGAAGGGTGAAACTCAATTAGTACATCATTGTCACGACATAATTTGGCAACTGAAATTAAATTAGTATGAATAGAAGGAACAAAAAGAGTATTAGGTAAGGAGAGAGAATGGAGGGTCATATTCCCAACTTGTGCATTTCAAGACTTTTACCGTTACCAATAATGAGGGAGTCTGTGCCGGTATAATCGGACGCCAAGGTAAGGTTGTTTAAATTATTGGTGACATGATTACTTGCTCCCGAGTCTAGTAACCATCCGCCTCTCCTATTCGTGGCAGTATTAACCTGGGGGGGATAATTTTGTTGTTCAAATCTATGCCAACAGTTGATAGCGAGATGGTTCGGTTTGCCACAAATTTGGCATATAATAACAGCACCTGAACTGGTATTTCCTCCAAAATTGGTACGCCTTCCCCCTGGGCGTGGGCCTTGATTCTGGTTGTAGAGATTATTGGGACGTGGGCCTCGATTCTGATTTCTGGCAAAATTCCTATTCTGAGTATTGGGCTTGTGGGGTAAATTCTGAGACTAAATTCTGAGACTGGGCTGATGGGGCTGGGCCTAATATAGACCCACTCTGGTCTGGAATCCTCCTAGCCGTCATAGCGACCGAACTATCTTCTTCCTCTTTCCTTTTGACGGTAGCTGCGTTCACCGTAACAACAACGGCGGAGTTCAAGAGCTCTTTCCTTCGGATTTTATCTTTGAATCCGACCAGTAAGGAGTGAAGGTCTTCAAAGTTGGTTTCATCTGGGCGGATGGAGTTCTCCATGGATTCAAATTCGGGACGAAGACCCTCCAGGGCTTGAATGGCAAAGTCTTCATCGTCAACTGGTCGTCCGGCCTTGGCCAGTTCATTCGCGATGGTGCGTAGGTGATGAAGATATTCTGCTACAGGTTGCGAGCCTTGTTTAGCATGACGGAACTGGTCTTTCAGACTTCGAATCTTGGAAGCTGACCGGGTCCCATATAGGCGCTCCAGTGTCTTCCAGACAGAGGCGGAGGTCGTTGCTGACCCAATCAACGGTTTGCAAGCAGAACTGAGAGAAGAGACAAGGGCGTGCCGCACCAGACGGTCCTGTCTCTTCCATCGGAGATGGCTGGCAACTTCACTTTCTGGAGGAGGACTGAATTTTTCATCAATATACTGGTCCAGATGAGAACCAAACAGAAGGTCCATAACTTGGTCTCTCCATACAAGGTAATTTGATCCATCTAGTTTTTCTGGGAATTGGCTAGGGCTGAGCATAATAAGGCCATCTGGGGTTAGGGGATTGTTGGCTGAGAAAGATGAGGTTGAATTATCTTCTGGACTTTTGTCTCTGTTATCTTCATTAGCCATGGGCAGATGAAGATGATGCTGGTTGAGAGGAAGGTGATGAGAATAGACCGATTAGGTCTCTAGAGTCTCTGATACCATAATGGAATTTAGAATAAGAAGGATTGAGACTGAATAACTTGGTTTATTCCATGAAATGAGTTGCTATTTATACAATATTCTAGGGATTAATAAGGCAGACTACTAATTATAATATTAAATTGATAGAGACTTTACTAAATAAGTTTTTTACTAAGGTCTATTATAGAAGGAGGAGGGTTGGTTATTAGTGAGTTTGTTATAATACGAATAACTACCGGTAGCTAGAACATCCTACTATAAATAGTAGTATTTGAGATTGTAATAGGCATGCTGAATTTGATTTGTAAACTGTACGCTACTGTTGCCTAAGGCCTTCGGCCATTGTTGCCTTTTCTTGAATAAGAAGTTGCCTAGAGTTTCTCGGATTCCAATTGGTGTTCTGTTAGATTTATTCTGCAGGATCTAACATTGGTATCAGAGCCAGGTTGATCTTGTTAATGGTTTGGACGCGAGGAAAAATGGAAGCGAGAATAGAAGAATTGGAGAAAGACTGTCAAGAAACGAAGGAGTTGTTGGCTACGATTCTAGTGAGGCTGGACGCGAGAGACAAAAGTCGATCGCGGAGTAGATCGCACGCATCAACTTCATCGCACCATACATCGCATCGATCATCGCATCGTTCATCGCAGCATCACTCCCTGCGATCGTCTGACAGTTCCGAAGAATCGGAAGGTCATTTGGAGTTCGCTCAACCACATCGACGTCACCATCACCAGCCGATGCACAGGAAAGTTGACCTACCTTTGTTCAACGGTGAAGACGCTTTTGGTTGGCTTGTCAGAATCGATAGGTATTTCCGACTCAACAATACACAAGAGGAGGAGAAGATAGAAGTGGCAGTAGTAGCTATGGAAGGCAAAGCTCTAGGATGGATTCAATGGTGGGAGAAACAAGCAAGAGTAAGGACTTGGGAGCAGTTGAAGAAGGCACTGCTTCGTCGTATTCAGCCAGAGTTAATTCAGAATCCATTGGCCTCTACTGAAGTTGAAACACAAGAACTCTGTACAAGAGTACCGAGTACAGTTTGAAACAGCTATATCTTGTCAAGAAGGACTGGATAGGAAGGTAATGAGGGCTATTTTCTTAAATGGATTAAAGAAAGATATCAGGGCTGAACTTAAGCTGTATAAAACCAAAGATCTTGGCAAAATTATGGATATTGCACAGCTGATTGAAGACAAGAATGAAGAAATCCTGTTAAGAAGGAATAAAGAAGAAGGAAAAAGACCATGGAAGAACACTGCACCTAAAGGAAACAGTTATCAGAAATGGGAAGAAGGGATGAGAAGTAGCAGTAATCCAATGTTTACACATTCTGATGGAAAGGATAGTAATGACAATAAGAATGTGAAGACTGGTGGAGGTTCAAGTTCAGGAAAAATAGGCCCCAGATTATCCCAACAAGAATTGATGGAAAGGAGTAAGAAAGGATTATGTTTCAAATGTGGGGAGAACTGGAATAGGGGGCATGAAGCAGGATGAGGAATTTCAAAATGGTTCTGGTTGAACACTCTGAAGAAGAGGCCGACACTGAAGTGGATTGCAGCAGTTCTGAAGAAGAAGAGGGACCTCATCCTGAACTAAAATCAATGCAATTGTCTGGAATTAGCAAGGAAGGTATAGATTCTGGAAGAACTTTTAAGATGGTGGGGAATTTGAAGTGGGCTGCAGAAGATAAGAGGGTCAATATTCTCATTGACAGTGGGGCTACCCACAACTTTATATCTCAGAGATTAGTGGACAAGTGGGGTATTCCTTTCAATCCAATCAAAGGATATAGGGTACAAATAGGTAATGGGGAATTCATATACAACCAAGGCAGATGTATGGGATTAAAGCTGATGGTGCAGGGTAATGAAATCAATCAAACTTTCTACACCTTAGAGCTGGGAGAGAATGATGTGATTTTGGGATTGGAGTGGTTAATGCCATTGGGAGACATGGCAATCAATTTCCAAAAACAGATCCTCATATGGAAGCAGGAGAGTCAGATTTGTTTCATAAAAAGGGATATAGCTCTAAATGAAAAAGAGACTTCTAGAACAATCAATGCACAGATTCTGCACCCAACTGTGGAGGGGCATCTACTGTATTGTGAAGAGGATGAGCAGGGGCAGAACATGGAACAAGAGACTATTGATTTTAATATCCAGACCAAGGAAGAAGCTGACTTTGTATCTTCATACACAAACGGTGGCTCAGTTCCTGGGTTGCCTCACAATAGCAGGGATATTCAGGAGATGTCTGTGAATTGGCAAGACCGAGTAATGAAGTTTCTCTTTCAGAAATTTGTGAAATATTGGGAAGGCAGGAGCGCTAGGATGAAGAAGAAAAAGGAGCTTTTGGCTGCTACCTATCGCCCACCTTGAGGGCAAGGTGGGATGTTCAGGAGGGGAGATTTGATAGAGACTTTACTAAATAAGTTTTTTACTAAGGTCTATTATAGAAGGAGGAGGGTTGGTTATTAGTGAGTTTGTTATAATACGAATAACTACCGGTAGCTAGAACATCCTACTATAAATAGTAGTATTTGAGATTGTAATAGGCATGCTGAATTTGATTTGTAAACTGTACGCTACTGTTGCCTAAGGCCTTCGGCCATTGTTGCCTTTTCTTGAATAAGAAGTTGCCTGGAGTTTCTCGGATTCCAATTGGTGTTCTGTTAGATTTATTCTTCAGGATCTAACATAAATACAAATATTTGTAACTGACAACTCTAATCAATTGTGTAACGGTTGTCTAGACTTTTCTTTGTCTAGATTCTTCTATAATTTGGGAGTTAGGGTTGATAGTGTGTGAAGAATCAATCAGCATCACTGGTTTCTACCATTGTTTTGTTTAAACCGAGGCTCTGATATAGGTTTGAGGAATTAATCTTCCTTGAATATTATTGAACCATCCGGCAATGATATATATACAAGTTACAAATAACAACCTAGGTGTTTCAGATCCTAAATAATAGGATCTATCTAATCTGCGAGCTTATCTACTTAATTAAAGAGATCTATCTACTCTAAGTCTTATCTATACAGTTCCGGATGTACATAAAATTAAAATAACAAATACATGTTACATTTTTCTACAATTTACATATAAAAAAGAAGATGCAAAGGAAATAGTTGGCCCATTATCCCAACACTTATGAAGACAGGAAGGGCTTAAGGTGCATGCATGGTAGTTAAAATCGTGACTTGGCTCGCTTGGTTTAAAAAAGCGCACCTAAGGCACGAGGCTCCCTAAGACGATCACTTTATCGCATCTTACATCCCCAAGCGGCGTAGGTTCCAAGAGGTGCGCCTTATATGGTGCTGTTTCACGCCTTTTGCGCGTCTGAGAGGCGTGCGATTCTCAGGCCTCATGGAAATGTCTTTTGGCGATTCAGCCTCTATAGTCTCTCTAGTCTTCTCCCTTCTTCCTTCTGCGTTTGCTTTGCTTCCTAACATCCTGTTTCTTCCTTCTGCATTTGCATTTCCTCGCGTCGCAGGCCAGGACTCGCAGGTAAGAATTTTTTTCTTCTCTTCTACTGTTTGTTCTCTTATGCGTGTGATAAATTATTAATTAAATATGTATTATTTTATATTTTATTACCTTGAAATCATAGATTTACTACCTTTGTCGGTATGTTCTAGATCATGCTGAGTAGGGTACCTAAACATTTGTTTTTATTTAACAAATATAGAAGACAGTTTTTATTATTAACAATTTTTTATATAACAGTTTATTAATTATGTTTTAGAGTTTGAGATTGCGTTTTGTGACTTGACTTTTGGCAATGATGCCGTTTAATATACAGTATATTTCTTGCTACTGTCTTGATAAATGTTGGGTTTCTCTTATGATGTTTATTAAGATTGTTTAATAGCTTGAAGTATTTTTGTGATGTGATCACTTTTTGAGAAGAGTTCTTCGTGTAGAAGTAGTATAGATATATTTTACCAAAGATATGATGTTAAGATCTGTGCCTCGCCTCACTGCCTCATGTCTCAGGTAAATCAATGAAAACGCCTCGTGCCGCCTTGCGTCATTTAAAATTAAGTTGGCTACTTGGCTTGTAGGATCGTACAATTATACGATTTCCAGGAACTCCTGCGATCCCGTTTCTACTGAAGATCGCAAAATGATAAGAATCACTGGGATCGTCGTGTTAACTTGCAGGAACGTAGAATTGCAGATAAATCGTGATTAATTCCTTTTAGTTGTCGAAAATATTGAAAAATTTCCGACTTTTAGGAAATGTTGGAAAAAACAAAGAGTACCGACTTGGGAGAAACGTGCGGAAAGTTAAAACAACATGTTCGCCCCTTCAAAATTTACGGAAATTTTCATGTATATATAGAATACAATAACGAGAAGCATCTGAACACCTGTTAATCCCCCCTGCGCCTGTCATCTCTCCATATCTTCTGTAGTTTTTTGTTGAGTCCTTACTCCCGGGTCTTCATCTGTTATTAGCTTTTGCGTCAACCTCCATGTCATTTTTTAGTGATGTTTTTCTTTTTTAGATCGCATTAGAAACTCTAATGTTATTACTACAGTGCTCCATTATAATATTATGTGGAGTATTATAAACAGATTTTAAGGTTTAGAGTTAGTTCCTTTAAACTAATATTATTTCCATTGTTTTACGAAATATTATATACTCTGTATTATCTTTTCATTCATCTTATACCTAAACTACTTTGCACACCCCAAATATACACACACATACACATACATATATATATAGTGTATATATTATACATATATATACATATATACATCTATATATATATATATATATATATATATATATATATATTGTAGGGTCTTACGATCCGAGTTACAATTTACGATCTTTAGGGCTACTTCCAAACCTATGTAGGATCTCGAATTTGAGTACCATGTTAAGGTGCGGCTACCATGTGAAGGTGTATATTGTCAATACATTTAGCAGGAATTTATAGTGTTTTTAGTCTTGTACGGAGTACAATAAATAAAAAGTTTACTGCCCTCGACACCAACTAGTTGAAATCTTGAAATTTCCTATCAATTGGGAAGGACCTTTTGCTTTTTGAAATCTACATCTTAATATAGTATGCATATTTGAATTACTTCGCTCGGTGGTCACTCCATTGCACAGCTTTTTTGGAGTTGAAAACTCAGTTGTGTCATTCCTGTGAATTCCTTCAGTGTGAAAGATCATGGAATTTATGCGAAATGGATCGCTTCTGCCTCATGCCAATGGTATTATTTTTTAATAACCCTTTTTATTGTTTTATTATTCTTTGATGCTGTAGTGACTGACAGCTATGTTTTTCAGGTGAAACTGATTATTATATTGATTCTTGGAAGGATCAGTTGCTCAGCAACAAAGGCAGAGAATAGAACTCCTTGCTCGAAATATGTTCTTGATACTTGGGAGCGAGGTCAAGTAGCTCATGTTGGCTGGCATTTAAAGGGATAAGAACAATTAGGTAAAGATGTCTTTCTTCTCTCCCTTGGCATTAGCTGTTGTAGTCACTTCGTCGTCCACATGAACCTAATCTCGGATGATGAATTTTGTTTTAGGTTGTTGCGTGCAAATTAGCAAGATGAAACACTACACAAGAGAGGCGAGGACAAGGCCACATCTATTTGTATATTATTGTATGTTCCAAATAGCTTTGCTGGGTAAACTGAGGCCTAGATGTGGTCAAGGGTGGTCATGGTCAGCCACTCAGCCTTGTCAGGGATTGTAAAAGTGGGCCATGTCAAGACGTAAATTGTATCCATTTGGTAAAGATTATGACTATTGGAATGATAAATTATGTATGGGCTCTTAACGTCTTACTTCATTCATAAGTGGCTTAGGCAAGGATTATGCATGGACCGGTCCGGAACCAGGTCCATGCCCAGTCCGGAACTAGATAGTGTTCCCAGACCGGATGGGGGTAAATTGGCCGGTTAGTTCCCAGGCCGGGACCGCCGGGTGTTGGTCAATTTTTTTCAAACATTCTAGCCGTGGACCGGTCCCGAGACTGGTCGGTCTCGGGCCCGAAAAATCGCACCCGTGACCGGGCAATGAAGTTTGAGGGGGGGAGGTGCTGGTCCTAAATTGAAACCAGAAAATTGGTCCCAAACATTGTTGGGCTCAAATCCGGCGTGGTCAAGACTGGCGGACCTAATCAACCCCTAGTCGGTTCTAGTTTTAATCTTTTTCTAGAAAAAGCATTTTTAAATACAATGTTAAAATTTGATATTGGAATTGCCATGGCCTGGGCAGTTGGAAACAGACCAATTACTCTCACATTGTGAGTTGTCACAAATTGAGAATTGTTTTCTTGAGATGGAAACCAAAGTGGGAGGCTCTTGGGTGGAGTCGGTGATGCGATTGGTTGGAATGAGGAACGTCTTTGTTCGGGAATGCGGGGGACTAAGTGGGAGTTTGGTAGTCGGCCGGAAGGATGAAGTGGAGGTGGAGATGATAAGCTCTTCAGATATCTTCATCGATTTGAAGATAAGGGTTGGTGCCGGAGGTTCGTTGTGAAGATTGACAAGGTTCTACTGGTACCCCCAAAAGCAGCAGGTGGTGGGAGTCGGGATGCTTGGGAACTGTTTCAGAGCTTGGCGACGGGTTGGTCGGCATTGTGATGGTGGTTGGCGATTTTAATGGTAGTGCGGTTGCAGGTAGGAATGGGGTTGTTTTTCTGTGATGGTCATTGGGATCTGGATGATCATATTGAGGGGGTTGTTGTTCAGGGGGAACAGTTAGATGTGGTAGATTGATTTAAGGTGTGGTTGTTGGAGGAGATGGACGTGAATTCTCGTAGAAACGCTCCAAGAGTGAGTCAAGAACCACACATTCAGGAGTTGTTTGAGCAGGTTGGTGTACTTCTTCAATTGAGGGAGGTTCTGTGCGGAAGTGTTCAGAAGCAAGATCTGTCATTTCATAGAATGCAACATGTACACTCTCCATCATGTAATCTCCATGATAAGTAGATTATGTATGCTTTGAATTGAGTTGAGTAGCCTATGAACACCCCTTCTTTGGCTTTAGGATCAAGCTCCCCTCTTTCACTTCTGTCATTTAGTACAAAACATTTACAACCAAAGACTCTGAAAATTGATATATCAGGAGTTCTTTTGAAGAGGATTTCATATGGAGTCTTGTCAAAGCGCTTGTGTATGGAGGTGTGGTTTTGTGTGAAGTACGCAGTATTGATGGCTTCAGTCCACATAAAGTGAGGAAGTTTGGACTGTATAAGCATTGTTCGTGCGGCTTCAACCAAAGTTCGTTTCTTATTTCTACTACTTCATTTTATTGCGGAGTCTTGGCAGCTGAAAAATGTTGTGTGATACCTTGAGATTCATACAAATCAGTAAGGAGCTGATTCTTGAACTCAGTACTATTGTCAGTTTTGGTTACTTGCACACTCCTATGCATAAAATTCTGAATTGTCCTTATATATAAAGATCATAATGGTGTTTGTAGTTTCTTCTTTCGAGCACAAGAACTTGGTCCATGTATACCGAGAAAAATCATCTACGATCACAGGTGTGTACTTTGGATCCGCATGGGTCCACATAGGTCCATATGAATCAGTTGAAGTGGACCCATGTGGACCTCTTCTCAACCACTACACTGTATAGAGAAAATTTAAATTAATCTTAAGTGCTTAGGGTTAATGCGTAATTTTACTTAGCAAAAAAATGCCCTCTTCCCATCGCTAAACTCTAGGGGTGAACAAAAAAACCGAAAAAACGAAACCGACCGAAACTGAACCGACCAAAACCGAAACCGACTCAAACCGAAACCGACTCAAACCGATTAAACATTGGCGGTTCGGTTTACGGTTTCACCTTTGGGGTTAAAAAACCGACCGAACCGAAACCGATCGACAAAAACCGACAAAAACATGCTAAAACTAACCGAAACCGACCTGAACCGACCGATATTAACCGAACCGAAACCGACTCAAGTAGTGCGGTTCGGTTTATGGTTTCAGCTTTTCCGGAAAAAAACCGAAAACCGACCAAACCGAACCGACGAACACCCCTATATAAACTCAATCCCCCAAAAGAATACCACTTGTCTTCTTCTTCATCGCTGATTTCACCTGTTGGCATGCACTCGATATTTCCATCGCCAACTACCAAAATGGTTTTTCACTATTCCGATCTCCATTTTTCATTTCCAATTTCAATTCTCAAAGGAGGCGATGCTTCCTCCTCTTCCCAATTGCTTGGTAGCGGATGTGAGCGGACAAAAATTAGGTAGCAGAGTTGTTCTTTAATCTTCTAGAGGTATTGTTCCTTTTCTAATTATTATTTTTCTTCCTTCTTTCTCTTTTCCTGCGTCATGGCTATTGTGAAATTGTTCTTCATTATCACTCTACAATGTTTCTGAAAAAAGGAAAAAGTTAAACCCAAAGATTGACAGGAAATGCTTGAGGGGTTCTGTTTAATAACCAAAAATGCTGAAAGGTTTGTTCTTCCCGCAACTTCTATTTACACCCAATTAAACTGTATGATTTTACCACAGATAGAGAAGGTCAAATCAATTTTTACTCTTAAACTACATGAGTAAACTATTTGGTTGAGAATACAAAATCAATGCGAAACATAAGGGGTTTCATGCGGCTCTTATTCACCTTTTAAATCTGCTACCACAACAATTTTTTAGATGATAGGACTTGAAGTATTTTGTTTTTGAAGAAATAACTGTAGTTAGACCATAATTGAGGAACTGGCCATTATAACATTTAGGGGAAGTATTTCTTATAAGTTTAACAGTTTATAAATGCTGGCATCCGTAACCAATTAAGAATTTTATTTTTTGTGGATCTATGCGGCCTGTTCTGAGCCATTTCTCAAAGTGTGTGTATATCTTAATTTGTTGTATCCCTAAAAATTTGAGTCTGGTCATCGTAGATGCGGACAAAAGGCTGAGATGAACTGCTTTATGTTGTATAGATTTATCTCTTTTAGGATGAGAATGAACCCTATGAGCTTTGTTAGGCTAAGTGAAAGCCATTCACTCTGAACTTAAACTGTTCTAAACAACTGCATAAGCAAGTTCTAATCACAGCCCCAAATATTACAAATTGTACTCTAGACATTGAAAGAAAGGTTGCTAATTTGATGTTTCTTTTGTCTATTGTCTCTGATATTCAGAGTACTTCACCTAGATTGCTGGGAGCCCTTTACATAGCACAAAAATCCATTATGATGTGATATAAGTATATTCAAGTGGTATGCTTTAACATTCTATGCATTGTCCAAATTTTATTCATTGAAACCTGATTAATATATATCCTGGATCAATATTGGATTTTTCTTTAAGCTAGAAAAGTCAAGAAAAAATCTGAAAACAACTTTCAAAAAACTTGAATTAAATGCATTCTATTTATCCAAACTTTTTCAGTCCTGATAAATTGATAATCATATTATTTTAAATAGATTGAGTTTTCTATTAGGGTAACTAATTTAAACAGGCAAACAATCAATAAATTCATGACATTATACTAACTATTGAGTCTCTAATTTTTAAAAATAACTTGACTTTTAGGAATTTTATTACACAACTTACGTTGAACAACGTGGATTGAGAATCAAGAAATAATATACATTGATTATATTACAAGTTTTCTTGGTAGTCTTTGTTGCTAAATGTGCGTATCTGAGTCTATTGAGACTCAAACCTCGGGTTACCACGAGTCTTGAAGAAAGTAAAAACAAAAGCGCGAGAATAAAAATAATAATCATGGAGCGCTTAACTGTTCTAAACAATTTAATAAGCATGCTCTAAGCACAATCCCAAAAACTATAAATTGCACTACAATTAGTGTAGGAGTGAAGTACCTTCTTATATGAAAAAAGCATTTTCTTTAGTTTTAAGTCATTGTCTTTCTTTCTCAATTGTTCATATTGAATAGCATTCTTCTTGGAGTAAAAATAGGCAATGCGACAGGAAGATGAATGTATTTTATGATCTATTTATATATCATAATTCATAACCTAAGTTTCACTCATATAGTAGATTTGTTGCAACATTTTCTTCCGGAGAGGCTAGAATATCACATAACAATGATAGTTAACCTCTTTTTGAGTTGAATGATATTTAAGTTAACTTCTTTACTTAAGATTTTATTTAGTATTTTTAGTAAACTAATTTTTTAATAGATTCAGTTTTTTATTAATATTAGTGAGTTAGTTTGGAAAAAGGCATTCAACAGGAATAGTAAAAGGGCGGTTGAAAATGGATAAATTATTGGCAAGCTCCGAGAAGGTGAACCGCCCTTTCCTGAAAAACACCACTCTCAGTTGCTTCTTTCCTTCTTCATTTTTGGGCTGCATTAAACATTAATAGATTCAGTTTTTTATTAATATTAGTGAGTTAGTTTGGAAAAAGGCATTCAACAGGAATAGTGAAAGGGCGGTTGAAAATGGATAAATTATTGGCAAGATCCGAGAAGGTGAATCGCCCTTTCCTGAAAAACACCACTCTCAGTTGCTTCTTTCCTTCTTCATTTTTGGGCTGCATTAAACATTAGAGGGTTGCACTTTTTTACTAGTATATGATACATCAAAAACACTTTTTTGACATCTTGGTTGTAGTGTGTTCAGAAAGGAAACGATTGTGTAAATCACGACCTTTGACGCTTTTCACTATTTTGTTCTCCATTTCTCACATTGAGATAAGGTCTCTTTACAACCACTATTATCTTCCTATGTATTTTTTTATAGTTATTGTATTTTTTTATTTCCATATATTATTGGCACAAAAAAGGTTTTATGTCTAATTTCTAAACATTCATTTCATCATCTAAACTTTCTATGTGCTTACATGAG